GTGTGGGGCAGTTGCCCCACCACACTCTCCCTCTCTGGTATTTATTCCTCTGATGCAATCATATATCCCCTCTGCTTTCATTTTGTTAGGCTAAACAAGCCAAACTCCTGGAGTCTCCTCTCCTAAAATAGGTTTTCCATTTCTCTGATCATCCTAGTAGCCCTTCTCTGCACCTGTTCCAGTTTGAATTCATCTTTCTTAAACATGGAAGACCAGAATTGCACACACTATTCCAGATGAGGTCTCACCAGTGCCTTTTCCAATGGCAATAACACTTCCCTATCTCTACTGGAAATATCTTGCCTGATACATCCTAGGATTGCATTAGCCTTTTCCACGACTGCATCATATTAGCAGCTCTTAGTCAGTCTTGATCAACCAATACACCCAAGTATTCTTTACTTCTGTCACTTCCAACTGATATATCCCCAGCTTATGGCAAAAATTCTTCTTGTTAGTTCCTAAGTGCATGATCTTGCACTTTTCACTATTAAATTTAATCCCATTTCTATTACTCCAGTTTTTAAAGTCATCCAGATCTTCTTGTATGATATTCCACTCCTCCGCCATGTTGGCAATACATCCCAACTTTGTGTCATCTGAAATTGTATTAGCACACTTTTTGTGGGAGTGAATGAAAATTTTCATTCACGAAAATGTTAAGATCGGTCCCAAGCCCAATCCCTGAGGAACTCCACTATTAACCTCCCTCCAGCCTGACAGTTCACCTTTCAGTACGGCACATTGTCGTCTCCCCATTAACCAGTTCCTTATCCACATTTCAGTTCTCATATTAGCCCCTGTATGCTGTCTGATATGTGGCTCACAACTGAGAGTGCCAAACTGTGGACAGTCTGTCAGGAAACAGGGCAGACACCCCAAACTGGTGGTATAGACTATAATTAAGTCTACGTTTATGTCACGGAGGTCATGGAAGTCGTGACTTCCAGAGACCTCCGTGACATTTTCTGCTTCAGTCTCTGGGGCTGTGGGACAGGAGCTATCAGCCAGCAGGGCCCTGGCAGGTTTCCAGCGACAGGCGACAGCCTCCTCAGGGGGCCCTCCTCAGGGTTCCAGCAACCAGGGACAGCCTCGCAGGGATGGGGGGAGAGAACCGTGCAGCTCCCAGCCACCACGGTGGCAGGGGAAACCATGGCGCTGCAGCAGCAAAAGTCACAGACAGCTCACGGCTTCCATGAATTTTTGTTTATTGCCCGGGACCTGTCGTGACTTTTACTAAAAATAACCATGACAAAAATCTTAGCCTGATCTATAATTAGATCTTATCAAACCAGTAACAAGCAGCACCCTGGATTATTATATTAGCCGTACCGTCGAGGCACAGATGGTCCCCTTAGGCTCATACCTTGTAAATAACTCATTTCTTTTCTTAGTGAATAAATCCTTAGATAGTTTACAATAGGACTGGCTACAAGTGTTGTCTTTGGTGTGTAGGGTTACCATATATCAATCCTGCAAAAAGAGGACACTCCACGGGCCCCGGCCCCGCCCCAACCCCGCCCCTTTCCCAAAGTCCCCGCCCCAACTCCGCCTCCAGGGTGACCAGAGCAAAAATAAAAAACGGCGGCAGAGGGAGGCCCGGGAGACGCAGGGGGAGCGCGGGGCCGGGGTGAGTGAGTCCGGCCTGGCCCTGAGCAGGCAGGACTCGGGCGGTACCTGGAGGGAGAGCAGGGGGGTGGCCAGCAGCTGTTCCTTCTCCCCACCTGGGCAGCCAGAGTCGGGAGCAGCCGCTGCTGCAGCTCCCACTGCCGCGGGGGGAGGAAGCGGCCAAGCACGTGGCGCTCGGTGGCTGCGGCTCTGGCGCCCGGGCCCGAACCCGAACCCCCCAAGCCCGGGCCTACTGTGGAGACCCAGCAGCACGCACGCTGCGCCCAGCCTCTGGCCAGTCGCGTCTGGGC